AAATGGTTATTTAAAAAATCAAGGTAAAAGGTAAATAACTTTGTTTGCAAAACTTGTGCATAGGATTTTTAAAATTGACAATTTATATTTGTACTTAAAGTTATGAAATATGATTCAAGAAACATGTTTGTGGTTGTTACAGTAGAAAATATAACTTGTTCTACTCTGATTTTATGTTTTTTGCCTGATTGTAGATCAATTGTGTTAATACAGTACGTCAAAATGAAAACATAACTGTAAATTCAGACACGTGAGGCTGTGCTGAAAACGATGATACCAAACAAAGCAAAGTAGATAGTTTTTAAAGGTAAAATGTGGAGGAAACATCAAAAGTAGTTAAAAATGGCCAATTATACCCTGGACCCCAGAGGGTTAAACCTTTTTTTAAAGTAACGCAATAGTTACTTTTCAAGTAATTAATTACTTTTAGAATATTGTAACTCAGTTACTAACTCAGTTACTTTTTTGAAGAAGTAACTAGTAACTATAATTAATTACTTTTTCAAAGTAACTTGCCCAACACTGCTGATGACATTCACACAGTTGCTAAGCTTAAACAAATTTTATTAATGTGTCTATCAAATTTCTCAACCACTTACCCAATTCATGGTCACAGTGGATCTGGAGCACATCCCATCTGCTTTTGGGAAAAGATCGGGTACACCACAGATAGATCACCAGTTCATCACACTGTGATTAATGCACCAGTGTATCACCAGTGTATCAATGTAACATCATCTTTTTCTCTAAAATCAAGTCACATCTCAAACATCAATTTAAAGATGTCGTCACAACTCTTTTCACTCTCAAAGTCTAAATAGACTTACTTTTGCCCCTCTAGGGATAAAAGTACCCAGTACACATGCACAGACACACACACACATCTCACATTCTTCACTGACCAACGTTGTGACACAAATATCTTTATCAAGGTCGAAATGCGATGACAGTAATTGTTACAGATTACCTGCCAATATAGGCACCACTACAGCAGGCATTACAGTTGTTAGGTCTGGATAATAAGATTGTGTGTGTGTGTGTGTGTGTGTGTGTGTGTGTGTGGCTCCATTCACCTTCATTCATCTCATGCCTCTTCAAATTGATGCCATGTTGACTTCACCTACAAGTCCAGTGAAGACAAATGAACTCAGCATTGACTTCCCCTCTGTTTAGTTGATGGATAACCTGACAGATGTCTGACTGATGGCTGATCAGTGATTCCAGTATGGACTCATCCACTCCCAGCATCCCTCACTGAAACAGAACACCTTAAAAAAAAAACTGAGCGACTCTGTCCACATTTGGAACAAAGGCAAATAAACACAGGAAACGAAAATATATTTATCTGATATCCAGGTTATATATTTGATATACAGAAACTCTGGTAGGAAGTTAGTGGATGTTTTGTTCTGGGTATATTCTTTTGTACGATCAGCACCTTTAGTATGTATAGCTTTGGTTATGGGATATTTTTCCCATAAACCTTTTGCATTTTTCATTCAGCTTGAGTAAATGTAATAGAGTTGTGAAAGAGCAGTTTAACCATGAATTGTTTAAACCAAAGAACTGATAAAGAAGGGAAAAAAAACTGCACAGGCTTATATAGAAACAAAACACTGTGATTTGAGAGGTTGGGGTGCTTTCAAATTGAGTGCATTGATTTGGATATCACGTAATTTACACAAAGATAAGCCTTATTTCACAGAGAATAGCTTAAAGACGTTATTAGAAATATTTCTGAATGTAATCCATGCAACATGTTTTAGATAAGTTGGAGCAGAAGCATAAAAAAAACCACTTGGTTTTTCTCTGGGCCCCAAGTTCATTTAAGACAGCGTCAGGAAAGCGGTTTGCTCTCATCTAAAAAGGACAGTGACCATCGGGCTTTTTAACATGGGCAGTTCATAAACTACAGTATGTAAGCCTTGATTCTAACTGTGAATTCTAACATTTTAGCCCTCCCCCAACCTAAAAGTCAGTGCAAATGGATCCTTGGGTCTGTTCATAGACAGTGTAAAACGTGGACGTAGCCACCTTGATGTCCAAATCAATCTTCAACAACTGTTTGGGTTGTTGTAGCAGGCTGTAAACTTGCTTTCTAATCATGCAAATTTTGCCATTTTAACACTGGAGTTTATGTGGATTGGACTTCCATCTGGAACCAGACTTAGGTGGCACCTAGAGATAATGCAGTATTTGCCACTTTCAGGTTGGCTCAATTCTCTAAACTCTTTCTCTTGTTCTGCCATCGAGTTGCTTACATTTTTATCTGATAGTTTTGGACTGATAATGCTGTATAAACAGAAGAAAGAATCAGATTCTAGGAGGGAAAAAAAAGAAGGAAATTGATTTTTTGTTTTAAAAAAAGATGGTCCTGAAAACACTAAACTAAAACTATTTCATATTAGGTCTCTTGTCTTTGAATCAGCAGTCTAGGCAGCCAACCCGATGTCACAGCATTGGGTCAATTTTACACTTTGCAACCAACATCTCAAAGAGCAAATTCTGCACTATTCTTAAAGAACTGTCGTCTACTTACCTCACCCTTCTCCCTTATCCCAAATCATGTACATTTTTTTCCCCTCGTGCACCGTGTCACGCTGTTCCCATTACATTGATTCCCACCAGGGAGCTGCTCATTGCTGCAGCAGCCTCACACTGAGCAGTCAGATGGTGCTTGTTTAGGAAAGTAACAAGTCAAAATTACAGACACCCTTCTCCTCACAGCTTCCCAGGATGCTTCCCAGACTGACCACTATTCTTCATGAAACATTGCCATTTTGTAACCACTTTTCCACACGAGCCCTCTCAAGTTTTGAAGCATATGCAGACATGCACCCGATGATAAACATTGTGGTGTTTTGCAAAGTGACACAGACCACGATTAAGCTGCCAAATCACATGTGAGCTGAATCTGATATGAGGTTATTTGCTCGTCACCATTTTTTTTTCATGCAATATCTCCATTATTGTGTCTGTTTTGTTCCTCCATGTAAAGCCTGCCCAGCTGCTTCATTTGGTACTTAGCTCTCTTTGATGTAGACAAATGCACCAATCAGTAACCCGCTCTTCTAATTATCCCAGTCTCTGTTGTGTGGCAGGCAGGGACCTGCCCCTTCTCATGCGGATGACACTGATGGTTGATTCAGCTTCTGTTTTTTTGTCCTTTCTGTTTATTGCAGGCTTTCATTGCTGACAACTGGCACATGATCTGAGAACATCAAATTGGAGGTAATTATTCCCATTGTCTTGTGCTCTGCAACATAGACTGTGCATGAAGGTGACACACACACCTACACACACTCAAGGACTTGTCCAGCTTAAGAGATACATTGCATGGCTTCGGGGGTGACATTGTGCTTCTGTGGTGCACATTAACCGGTACAGAGAGAAGTTTATTCATATGGGTAAAGTGACCATTCTGCTTGCTTGCAGGTCAGGTCACTACGTAGCCCGAGTGTTTATCTCTGTCAGCATGCCCTTCACCAAAACCACAGGGCTGCTGCTTGCTCTGAGGGTGGTCATTCTGTCTGTCTGATGATATTATTAATGTGCTTACAGGCAGCGCAGGTTTCCAACATTTTTCATATTTGAACATGTTTCCTCGTTCATGGAAATGCTGTTTCTGTTGGAGAGTTTTGTTTACGCACACGTTTAAGGCAGAGGTATAAACTCATCACACCTGCAAAGACTTCAGAAGTGAAAAGGACCACTTTAATTACTGACTTTGTTTTTATTAGTTATTTTTAATTAAAAATATTTAAATGTTCATATTTTATTGTATTTAATTTGAAGGGGGAAAACACTAATCTTCTTTAGAAAAAGGACATTTTCTAAGAAAATAGTTTTTGAATATATATCCAACCAAAACTGTGAAAACATGGCAACTTAAAAATAAAAAACTAATCACCCTCAGTTCCCTTCTACAGTGTCCCATTGCTATGACATTGCTAAGTCTTGGATTTTATGTGTAGAACCTAACATTATACATGTACTGTGGGTGTGGCCAGTTGATTCTCCCTTTAGCCCTTAGTGGTATTCTCTTGTCTACAATGTAAACTGTAATATTAAATTCAACTGGCAGCACATGTATTACTTTATTTTATTTTAAAGCTCTGACTTGCCCTAAACGAAATCCTTAAATAACTGTCTATGTTGTGCAAATGTCACAGATTCTGCACGCTTCACTGATGCCAGACCTCAGTCAGTGCTGCAAACAAACACAAGTCTTTTCTTCAGCTTCTAGGTTGGAGTGTGATAAGTGAGTCTCCTCACTTATAACAAGATCAATCTGGAACGTTAGGACGTTGCATTCTCTAATTACAAGATTAGCATTCAGAAATCTTGCACTGCTTGAGCTTCCTGCAATATAAACAGTATTTATGCCCTTTCAGTACACTCGTGGGACACATTTAAACAGTTATGAAATATTTATTCCAATTGTAGGATATCTACAAAACCGACACTTCACTGTTTGCATGCATGTATAAAGGAGGGGGGTGCACATGCTGTTTTTTATTTTCTAAAAGCTGATTTTAAGAGACTAAATAAAATCACATATGCAGTTAAGTTCTCAGTGTCTACAACCAAGTATGACTCTAACTCCCAATTTTTTTTTTCAGAATTAAAAACATGTTGAAATTTTTGAAACAGAGAAAAAGTACCACTATCACAATATAATGCAATATTAGCTCTTTTTGAATTTCATTTTTTAAGCTTGTAAAAGATGGGCAGAGGTTTATCAGTTTGCAAAAAACTGATGAACCTCTCTCTGAACAAAGTGCATAAACATAAGAATTAGGAAGACTTTTATATAATTTCATCATCTTCAGTACAAAATATCATCAAAAGATTCTGAGAATCTGGAGAAATCTCTGTGCGCAAGGGACAGAAATCAATATTGGATGCTTCTAGTCTTTGAGTCCCTGAGCAACGCTGCGTTAAAACAGGATTCTGCTATGGAAATCTGAAAAGTCACATGTGAACGGAAATGCCTCCATCTTCTCTGGACCAAAGTTCATTTGAAATGGACTGAAGCAAAGTCCAAAACATATATCTCATACCACCTCCCATCGAGTGTAAAGCAAATAGGGAGGCAGGAAAAGTAATTTTTCTACTCGAAGCCATCGTGCCTGCTTGCTCAGAAACCATAGACACCACACTTAAACATCCTGTGTACTGTACCTCACGTTTTAAACACGAGTCCTTCGTGTCTGAAACAGACTCCACAAGGTTTGCAGAAGTATTTTGCTGATGTGGAACACTATGGTAACCCAAGACGCTTAACCTGGGAAACCAAGCAAACTGGCCTGAAGGGGGTGTTATACTATTTTATGACAACTGCGTTGCCATAAAATATGAAGAAAATGAGTGCCTGCTTGGTAACTGATGAATTTGGTATGAATATGTATTAGAACGTATACAATATTATGATGGATAATTGACTGGGTCAGAACATGTTCAAAATCGCAGGTCTCGTTTGGTGTTATGTGATATTTAATACCTAGTGAACTTGGTCCTCAGACATTATCCACTAATGGATATTAAATATTTAGATATTGAGTTCATGTTACAATATCAGAGCAAATACCGAGTGGTGTATTTCAGATTTGGTACAGTACAAAGCAGTGAAAGCAGTGGACCGAATGACACCTACACAATCATAGACAAAGAAAAAGGGTTCATGGATATGACAGCCGCTAAAGCAGAGAAAAGTTCTTGCAGAAAAAAAGTGAGTTAAAAAGACAAGGCATGAAAGGACAAAATATTTGACTGACAAGTGATCCTTGGGGAGTTAGGCACAATGCTGCCAAACGGAAAGAAGCAGGAATCACACAGATTTCCACTTTAAATGTCAAAAGCTGCTATGCAAATTAGGTGTAATGACCCTCTGCCCTGCCAGTAATAGATGTGTAGCATTTTGGAATGAGCTGCTTTATATGTTGATCTCTTGATTTCTTTATACGTTGATTTCTTTCCATTTGAAGCAATGACAGCATTTGTCATGAGGGGTGGCACGTCTCCTGTTGTGTCACATTTCCCACTGACAGATAAGTGGAGATTTCCCCAGTGTGTCACTTCCAGTAGGAGGAAAGTACCATTGATCCACGGTGATTGGTGTACAACGCACTAATTAGGGCAGGCTTGAAACAACAGTCACACTGAAAAGGACCGCAAAGGTAAGAAGGCTTTCCACCATGAACCAATAGTGACCAATCGGATGTTATAAAATTAAAACAGATGATTAAGATCTAACGTTAGCTGAGAGCAGTGGTTCCCAAATAGTATGAAGAAGCATGCTGGTGTAGATTTTGTTTCAACCCTGCATTATAATTCACTAAAAAGTTATGAATACATTTTATATATTTGTCCACATTCCCCAATACAGAGGTGAGTTCTATGCCTTTAAACTAACCTTAAAAAATCTGTCTTCAGTCTGTTTGCTCAACTGCCACATCGAGTAAATTGCACATCCATCCATCTTCTTCTGCTTATCCGGGGCCAGGGCCCGGGGGCAGGGTTCCCAGGCCAGCGGAGAGATATAATCTCTCCAGTGTGTCCTGGGTCTGCCCATCAAGTCCCCATGCCATGGAGTAAATTATTAGAGCATAATTCAGGCCACTAAAAACTGCGAGACACTCTCACAAAACCTACCTGTTTTGCTGACTTCGTCTGGCCCTTATCCACACGCATCATCTGTCAGAAGAAGTTGGCTAATGCCATCCTAGTACCAAACAAGCTGAAGAGGCACTTGGAAACCAAACATCCCTTCTGAGAGACACTTCAAAAGAGCCTGGATCTGAACCAGAAGCAACAAGCCTGCTTGTCAGATGGCGTGAAGATGTCTGATAAGGCGATGAGGTGAATTATATGCTGGTAAGGTTTATTGCAAAGCAGAGGGAAACTCAAAATAGTGGCTCCTTTAAAAAATTGCAGATGCAGTGCTAGGTTATCTGACAGTACAACCAACATACGCAATCCAAAAGCACGACACGTTAGACACAGACACAGAGGTTAGTTTGTACAAATATGAAAAGAGATGTGCCTTGAAGTTTTGACCTTCCTTTCAGCGTGCCTCGGGTACTTAAAGTTTCAAAACCATTGTTCGTGAACAAAAGGGTCAGTTGTTTTGATACTACCATTCATATTATATCTTTGCATTAATACTATTAAATGTTATTAAAATGATTCTTTGCCATTTGGCTTATGCTCACAGTTCGATCTGGTTTTAATATACATATTATTTCAAAGGAGATTTCAAAGTCTTGCTCATTCTTGCTAATAGCAGTTAGGCTTTCAAAAAGTTTTCATGCCTCAGCTGTAAAAGGATGAAGGGGAATTGGCTTTCCAACAATACCAGGTGGTGGGTGGGCAGTCGAATGGGCAGCATGGAAACCGAAGTTTGTGAATGAATTACTTGGTAACTTGAAAATGGAGCGACGTAGGATGTAGGAATTGATACAACAGGTTTATCTACCAAAAAAGACAAGTTCGGATCTCAGTGACCTCAACCTGAAAGGTCAGGGGTCAAGTTTTCTGAAAGTTTTCTTAAAGTCTTGTGAACTCAAGAATGAGTTGATGTAGGATTGATTTAGGCGCATCTAGTAAAAATCTCAGACGAGTGAATCTTAATGACCCCGAACTCATAGGTGAACTCACCTACGAACTACGAAGGTGAGTTTGGGGTACTGTTAGGCTGAGAGGTAGCGCGGTAGTCGATCGTGTTGATCTACCAGTCATTTTAACTGTGTGTGTGTGTGTGTACGTGCTTGTGTGTGATAGATATATTTTAAAAAGTGGTTAAAAGTAAACATATAAAAAGGACTGCAAGATATTCGTGTGCATGTGTGTGTGTGGCTGGATACATCTAACACATGTTTTGAAACTTCTAAAGACAAAAAAACACTAAATCTGTTAAGTCAGTAATCAGGTGAGTACATTGCATCACATAATGAAAAACACATGCACATTTATGCACTTTTAATTTAGAGGTATGAGAAGAACGCTGTGTTGTGGTTAATTACAGAAATAGAGAGAGTGAGAGGATGAAGAACAAATAAAAATAAAAATATGGGAATGTGAATTTTAAAGGACAGCGAAAGAGAGACAGAAAGACCGATAGAGGAAGGACTATTTGCTAGTCGTGCTGCCATCATCCTGCCAAGGCAACTCGGAAAATTGCTTTGTCTATATTTAGCAACAAAAGACAGCAAGGGTCTGATGCACACACA